ATTCTACATCAATTCGTAATTCCGTCTTGTTTTGTGATGATAATTCAAGTATATAATGAAGCCCTTGACGATAAAATATCGGATGCAACGAACAACAGGGTCAAAAAATAGTTCTTGTACTTTCTTTATGTTCATTTTATAAATACGTTTTGATTTTTGTTTCAACCTATTTATATGGAAGGGTATTAACGTAAAAATTACATCTTGCTTTCTTACGTTACATCTTGCATTCGGACTTGTACATCTTGCATTTTGACTTGTACATCTTGCATTCTGACTTGTACATTTTGTATTCTGACTTTTACATGTTGCTTTCTTACATGAACATTATGCTTTCTGCTGTGTGCGTCTTGCTTAATTGTATCTTGATATCGTTATTTAACGATCAATTATTATTCATTTGTTGATCTGGTATATTAATTCAATAACATAACTTGCAACCGATTGTATTTGGGTCTATTTACTTAGCTTGAATGACGAATGCATAAGGAAGAATGACGCATAGCCGAAAACCGAATGCAGCAAGCATAATACGACGCGACATCTGGTGTAATAATATGTGACACCCAAATTATGCTAACAGGTGGAGCTACAGTTATTTTCTCGGTAATGTCTGTATTGCGGTTCGGATTCAGTTTACCGAATAACGTCCCTTTGTTTTAAAATTTCCATTTCACTATGGAGGAAATATTGTAAACGTATATACGAGGGTTGTCCAAAAAATTCGTGCACTGCAGTTATTGTCGTGAGAGTTATTAATAAAAACAAATGAATTATATATCACTTGAAGGGAAAATCTGTCTCAAATAAGAAAACAAAAGAAAAAGCCGAGTAACCGGCGTGTCGTGATAAAGAATGGTCATTAAGTTACCTTAGTAACGTAATACCGGCGCACGAAAAAGAATTGGGTTAGTTCATTACTGTAATTGTATTAATTGTTTGTTGCTTGTAAAGTGGCATTTGCTTTTTATGTTATAATTTGTTTACTGTAAATAGAGGAATGATTGATGCAAAGAAATTTGTAGTTTTTATTGTTCTTATGCAACGTCCATGTAACATATTCCACCAGTGCACGAATATATTGGACAACCCAACCGGCATTACGGCCTGACGTCTGCCTGACCGGTTGTCATCGTCTACCGACTCTCGCCCCTCTACAGAGCGTTTGTGCAATTTAAAAACCAGAATTTAAAAACCAGCCTTTGTGACACTGAACTTGTCCCGCTTGCCCTTTTAATTTTTTGTAGGTATCTGTTGGTGTTTTACCAATATTTGCACAAAATTTAATGATCGTCCGTATTTCCAGACGTTTAGCGACTGGCATTTTCACCTAATTACAGTATTGGCGACCACACACAAATGTTTGTTTACGACCGTTACAATAGGGCAAATGACGTCATATTTTCTAGTGACGTTAGGAATACGTACACACACTTTTCCCTGAATTTTACCGTTTATATGTAGTGTTTAAATAATACCGTGATGCATCAAAGTAATGAACTAACCCAATTTTTTGTCGTGCGCCGGTATTACGTTACCAAGGTAACTGTATGACGATTCGTTTTCACGACATGCCGGTTACACGTTTTTTTCTTTTGTTTTCTTATTTGAGACAGATTTCCCCTTCAAGTGATATATAATTCATGTTTTTCTATCAATAACTCTCACGACAATAACTGCAGTGCACGAATTTTTTGGACAACCCTCGTACAAAACGATTTAACCAATTTTTGTATTTATTACTGAAACTCGGTGGATCAAATAATATTTCCAGCTGACAATGACATGTTGGGCTGAAGATGTCTTTACTAAAAAGGCATCTTCTACGGTGGCACAAAGGTGGCATGTGTGTATTTTTATTTATCTCGTGGCCACGAGTTACTAAGTCGTGGCCACGAGATACTATGTCGCGGCCACGAGTTACTAAGTCGTGGCCACGAGATAGTTAAGTCGTGGACACGAGATACTATGTCATGGCCACGAGTTACTAAGGCGTGGCCACGAGATAGCTGAGTCGTGGCCACGAGATACTATGTCGTGGCCACGAGTTACTAAGTCGTGGCCACGATATAGCTAAGTCGTGGCCACGAGATGTCATGGCCACGAGTTACTAAGTCGTGGCCACGAGATAGCGAAGTCGTTGCCACGAGATACTATGTCAGTTTGTACGTACCACGGCCTGTTAACCTTGTTTATACGAAAACATGAGAAGGAATAAGTCCTGGTTTATTTTATTTGGAAGGGACTTTGCCCATGGACAGAAGATAGTCTTTAGGGTAAAATCCTTGTCTGCTGAATAATTTAGTAGGGATAAGCCATGGTTTATATAATCCAGAAAGATCAGTAGATGACATCTAAAAATTTCGAGGTAATTAGGTCAAAAATCAAGGTCACCGTGACACTAAATGTAAAATTATTGACCAGTTAATTAGGGAAATTCATATAAATGGTGTAATCTGATTGATTATTTATCATGTTGCCACGACTTAGTAACTCGCGGCCACTGTCAGAATAATCATACAGTTTATATGTAGATATGTATCTTACAACGAGTTAATATTTCCCTACAGTGATATATTGTTGTAGATGAAACAACGAGTTAATATTTCCTTACAGTGATACATTATTAGACGGCGCAAGCACGCGCCGTCTAGTAGATATGCATTTGTCCGTATAGCAATGGGGAAGATTTTAGACTTGATTTTGTGTATTTTTTGTTTGTTTTAACAAAATCACATTGTTTTCAAATTTTCTAATACAAATAGCTTTTCTGATGTACAACATGTCACGGAGCTTTAAGGGATTAAAATAAATGTTTAACTGAAGTGATAGTGTCATGTTTAAATATCATATTCTTTTTAAAATTATCTTATTTTATCTACTTTATAAATAACGTGCCAATGAGCCAGTCTATAGACTAAGTCAAAAGTTCTGAAACTTAACCGTTGACAGGGGTGACGACTGAAGCAGTGTCACTCACTTCATTTGCTCCGCCTCTATTGAAGTTCGTCTCTGCCTTAAATTGTCGCTAGCATTTAGTCTTCGTTGACGGGGGTGGGGGAGGGAACCAGGACAACTTTGATCAATATAACTTGACGAATTATTAAATTACAAGTTACAAAGCCTAACCCTTGCCCACTATCAGATAGGCAGTTCTACCTAAACCCTCATCTCAACACAGACCCGTCTATAGTCTAATGACGGGAACCAAATTCGGACAGGGAACAAAAGGTATCATTAAAATACGCAACGGAGATTAGTTTGGCGCTACAGACGCAGCGCAAAACAGTCAAAACGTGTGCGACATGTAATTCATGAAAATAATTAACATTTAAGTTATAAAACAGATTAACTGAGTGAAAAAAGTACGTTCATTTTAAAACGTATCACACATTTTTGCAATAGGTTATTTTGAAGGATTCTGTGCCCGACGATTCTTCTCTTTTGCCTAGTTTTTTTTAATCAAATTTAGTGGTCCCATACCTATATTCTAGGCGAATATGCATTTTTTGTTAATGCAAATAGTTTAATCTTTTATAAATAAGTAAAACAATATGTAACAAAGAATTGATTATATATATATATCAATTTATTCATAACTATTATTTGATATTACAGACATATTTTCGCTATTTGTAAAATAACAGACAGTTCGTCCTCAAAATCATTTGAACATTATGCAATTCGCACGAATATTTAAATGGACATATTTTCGGCACATATTGTCTTGAATTAATTTAAAGTTTACCAATCATTTCAATTTCTTTTGTTATATACTTTATTTTGCTTTGACCAGCGCAACAGACAAACATTTCAGAATTTCAGACACATACCAAGAACATGGAGAAAATAAAAGATTAGTGCTTCGGATATTTAACTGTAATAGAGAACGATTTTCAATTCTGATTTTGTACATTACCTGTGACTGTTCACATCTTTGATGTGCAGCATCAACATTTAACTTGTTTTAAATGGAGTGTAAATATCATGTTTAAACCAGTCGCTGTGCGTATATTAAACTGTATACATGTTCAATGTCAAATCGGTACAACAGAAAATATGTGAGTTTTCAGAGAGATTTTACATCAGTTTAGGAGATCCACACTGATAGTCTGTAGCGTTTATATTTTTGTTTTTGTTGAGAAGAGAATTTGTTGTTTTGAAGGGAGTTTTAGTTTTAATTCACTATTTCATGTTTTGTATTGGGCAATAAAATTAAGGAAATCGTGTATTTCAACATATAAACAGTTATTTAAGGTTGAACTTTGATAAAGTCTTAAGAAGTACAGTGACCGTCATAGAATAATTACTATAATTACAACCTGTCATTATATTCAAAGCATATTGACTCCCTAATAATACATAGTTACATACAATGACTGCGGAAAAGTAACAATTTGACCTCCAAACGCAAACGATTGTGACCCTCACAGAATATCATCATAACACATGCACGCATGTACACTATCTACTTATGTTTAATTGATATCACAGAATTATCAGTAAACTTAAGATAAGCTATAACAGCGTTTCTAAGTGATGATATAAACAATATCTAACGTATCTTAGTGGTGATATTAACCAAGAGAGATATGACCGTGGTTCAAAGTCACAAACAATTGAAATATTTACAGAAACAAATTAAAAGACAGAAATGTTATAGACATTTTTCAATGTTTGTAGCGGAAACATATTTCCGGTATTTGAATAGTTGTACATACTTTACTTAAAGGAACAAATTAAATCTTTGGTAGTCCATTTTATTAACGCTCAAACGCGCCTATGTTTTGTTAAAATACCTGTTACAACCGCAATACATTAGTTTCATTATATAACAAAATAAAAATCAAAATGCTTTATTTTATGAAAGTTTTATTTTTTTGCACTGTTAATCGAAATTCTTATCAGACAAATTTATTTTATATAGACTTATTACCAAAAACTTTTTATTGGTGGCGATTGAATAATAAACATGTATAAGATAGACAATTAAGCCAAAAGTAAATTGAGACTTTATTTAATACAATGCAACATGAAACATTTCATTGCTTACACGCGCCTTATCATCATTCTCGACGATTTCAGTGATTGCTTCCCTTTGAAGGAATTATAGATCATTCCTGCATCCCCTGCCGCAGTCGAATGGACTGTTCCTGGTGTAATATAATCGCCGTTAAGATTAACAAAGGTACAAGGACTATACCAGTACCACCATCCTCCATGACACAGTTGTGCGTTGTTGGGTCCATTATAATCATCTACATCATGATCATAGGTCGAGAAACGCCGGCCATTACTGTAGTACAAACCCTTTACATCTCCTTAAAAGGTACAATTCAGCGTTATAAGCGAGGGAATTGTTTCATTTTTGTCAGAGGATTGACTTGTTTTAAAATTGGAAATTATATTACGATAATTATATTATAAAATTTTTATCTAGAATTATGGATCATAAAAAATTGTATGCAAGTAAACATTGCACCTGCAGTGCCATATCCTTTATCAATGTGAAGCCTATAATCGTCTTCGTCTAAACTAAAGTTCCTGTATACTTCAAATGCTTTGGTACCATCTGCCGCATCTACATCTATTCGCAATTCCGTAATGTTTTGTGATGATAATTCAAATATATAATGAAGCCCTTGAAAATAGAATAAAAAACATCTATATATGTATATGTACAGTGATATTTTTTGCACTTTATTATCATTTTATATTATTGTCCAATTCTCAAATTAATTTTGATTTTTGTTTGAACCAACTTCAATGGAAGGATACTTCGTCATCGCGCACCTGCTGAATGCTCCAACTAGGACTTTTTTGCAGGGAATTCGTCGACTCGAAGGTAAAATACAATTTTATTGTAAGAAAACGTAAGAGTATCAAAAATCATGTAGCGCACCAAAGAAATGCTTTAGTACCTGAGATAATTGTAAAAAGAGGTGTAAAGATTTATTGCCTGGTTTAGGCCTGGTAACGGGATAAGTGTTTTTTCTCGGATTGCTCCCATTAGGACTTTTCCGGAAACATATTAGAAATAATTTTTAACGAACCAGAATATAAACCGAGTCATGTTTACACATTTTACTAGATTGGTTTCAAATAGTTCTATTCAAAAGTCAGTTTTTTAAGTTTTTATAAAAATATAAAATGCTCCCACTCGGACTCGATTTCAGATATGTTCGCACTCTGACCCAAATATATACAGATTTTGAAAGCACATTGCTGTGTTAAGCTTTTATGGATTATTTTCACAATTTTACACCATTTGTCAATATGTTATATGTGTTTGGTGACATCACTTCTTTGATTCTGAAGAAAGACGTCGTCGGGCAGAAACAAGGCAACATGGCTAGGTTTCAACTGACAGGATTACAAAAAGGTGCACTTGGCTTGTGTTGGTATTGGATCCGAAGGGATGATTCATTCAAAATTATTGCCAACAACAAAGCAAGGACTATAAGACATTAAATGGACAGTTTGGATCTCAAGAATAAAGTTTTGTTGAGATGTTAATAAATGGTAGTGTTTAATAAAGAAGTCATTATACATTACTCGTACTCACATTAGAAACCTGCATTATTCAATAATTGCTGACATTAATATTTTGTTGATCATCTAAAACGCAATGACTTGAGTGTTTGTAAAATAACAAAATGAAATAAATCAGAAAACAAAGATCACAGTTATTTTTATCACAGTCGTTACCATATCGTGCATGGTAATTCAATGACATTAAAAAAATATACAAGAAGGAGTCGAAGATAGTAAAATTCCTCGCCGAAAAGGAGGAAATACATTTCAAAGGGGAAGTAACTCTTACATGCATGTACAAATCCAAGTAATGACACTCGTGAAAATTAATGAAACCTTTTAAGTTAAAACCTAGACATAATATATCAGGACAATGATAACACTCCCATAAAAAAACAAAGAAAAAAATAACAACAAAGAAGCATTAGGTGAACACTTCTAGTCCTTGTGCTCTGCTATTCACCTTTAATAAACATGCTCAATATAAAGTTTCAAGTTAATATCTCAAATACCTTTAAAGGTATGGTCCTTGCAAACTAATCATAGTGAATAACAAAGAGCGATAACTCAAAAACTGGAGGGTTGTCATTCTTGTTTGTGGTACTTTGCTTTACTATAATATATCATCCAGTGAAGTTTCAACTAAATTGATCCTTTATAACATATTGTCCAAAACTTAACGTAAAAACTGAACAAACAACAATTACTTCAAAGCGCTATTATTCTTGTGTTTTCTTAAGTATTCCTCCTCACAGAGATATATCCACAGTTGGTATCTAAAATATGTGTTCGAGCTATGCCGTGCCAAGGTGTCCTGTCATGTGCTTCCTTACGTCGCAATGTGGTTTATGCCTTTTCCCATACTGGTTGCAAACACAAATAATTTCTGCAAAATAAAACGTTATCATATTTTTTAAATGTATAATCAATTTGTTTTTTTATTTCAGGGTACCGCTTTAACGAAGAATTGTTTCAACATAACCGATTTTTCCTTACTTTTAGACCGATAACTAATCCTGACGAGATTGTTATAGTAAAATATGCCACAACTTTAGTTATCTAAATATTAGTATCGTATTTTAAAATGCTGTTTCATTGAATTCTAACTGATTACATGAATATGTATACTTGAATTTAAAGATACATTTAAAAAATAATAATATATTAACACAGCAATGTGCTTTAAAAATTTGTATATATTTATGTACGAGTGGGAGCATTTCTGAAATCGAATCCGAGTGGGATCATTTTCCATTCTTATAAAAAGATATAAGAAAAACTGACTTTTGAATAGACATTTTTGAACCCAATCTAGAAAAAATGTGTAAACATGACTCGGTTCATGTTCTGGTACGTTCAAAATAATTTTCGGTTTTCAACCTTATTTCTTATATGTTTCGGAAAAAGTCCGAGTGGGAGCTTTCAGAGAAAAACACTTACCCCATTCTTAGGCCTAAACCAGGCAATAAATCTTTACACTTTTTTACAATTACCTCAAGTACTATAGTTATTCTTTGGTCATACGTGATTTTTTGATACTCGTACGTTTTCTTATAGTAAAATTGTATATTACCTTCGAGTCGATGGATTTTCTGCAAAATATATGCGCGAAGACGAAGTATCCTACCATTGAACTTTGTTAAAGTAAAACTAATCTTTTAATCTGACATTATTTATAAAACCCAATGCAACATGTGTTTAAAGTCGGTTAACAAACAAAATAATTAATCGATTTTCGTTTTTGAACAGTTTTTATTTAAATCTCTTTTTTTACTTTTTTTGAAAGCGATTGTTTATAGCTATAGAAACTGTCAGTAAAACAGGACTGGGAGGTATCTTTATGTCATTAGTACTTTTTTACCATGGCAGGGTGAAAAAACAATATGTTTCAACTAAAGCTAAATGAAATTCTTACCTTTAAATTGACATTGATAATATTTCATTAATTTGTTATTAATACAAGTTCATACCTAGCCAAAATTCGCCGTTAATATCTCCAAAACCAACGGAGTAATTGGCATGATTTCGGTAGAAGTCCACTGAACCATTAAATCGTCTTTGGACCACCTGTTATTAGAAACAGTCTTTCCATTTTCTGAGTCTGCCAAAGGGGGAATTAGCGTCAGTATGTGGATAATATTGAACTTGATAATACTGCACGTTTGTAACGCCGATTTTGATCGGCTTATAGTGAATGTTATGTAAATTATATACGCGTTCGTTGTAAATAACAATTGATAAAAGTAAAATTTTGTAAGATTTGGTTTTGTGTAAAGGAGAAACTATGAACGTGCTCTGGTGTAAGTTTCACATTTGGACAAAAAGTGGATTAAATGGCCATCAACTAAGCCAATTACACACAGGAATCAGACCACAAGCCAATTTGAGACTATATTTGCACAGGGTGTTGTGCTCGTGCATATGCTTTGAATAATCAGTATTGCTTGATTATTATTGTCAAAGTACAAAGCAACACTGTTAATTATTTTTGTTTCACTGAGTTTCTTCAATTTTGCAATGTTATAAACCTACCGACCATCCGCCACCGGCAGTCTCAAAATCGCAGTATATTTCTTTGTAGACTTTTGATTTCCACAACTGGATTCCATATATACCATTTGTTTTACCAAGAGACATTTTCTGAATATCATAACAATCAGATGCTGGAACTGAAAAAATACGCATAAAATATATATACTAGAGTTGTCAGAGGAGATTACTCGCTATACTGACTAAATTTCGGACTCAGTAAAGAAAATCAAAACTATGATGATAAATAACTTATATTTGAAGTTTGAAAGCTCTTAACAAGGAAAAGGGTAAAGTGAAATATACCAAATTTTCAAAATATTTCTAAGTTCAGGGGGAGATTATTATGAAAAGATATAATAGTTGTGAACCTTCTAAAACATGATATGGGATATGATAAAGAACATTTATTTGAAGTTTAAAGTTAATCCGTAAAGAAAAGGGACGTTTTAGTAAAAGTATTTAACTACTCAAAAATTGAACCAATAAACTGAATGCGGACGTGGGTGCCTAGGTCGAGTTGTGTAGGACAGCTCTCCATAAAACTATTTCTTAATGTTAAAAAGAAGAGCATCAGCCTCATGACTGCAATCAAACATTCATTTTCTATAATGAACCTTATGATTTAAAGTATGAGATTCGAATAATTTATAACTACAAAGAACACTACTATTAGACAAATATGTTCCGTACTCGTCCGTATTTGTTCAACATACGGGACCATTTTATCATGGAGATTAGTTAAAGTTTTCGCACTGTTTCTCTTTTCAGGTCTGGTAAGTGGTCATACGTGAATAAAAATGACTTCACAGAGATGTTCTTCTTTTAATCACGCTCCTTTCTATTCTTTTTCTTCTTTTTATTTCAATATTGTAAATGCGGGTTATTGCAGTTTAGATAGGTTGCATAGATCGTTACCTGTTTCACAGAGGTTGCCTGTAAATCCCGGAGGACAGTTGCAAGTGTAGTTTGTTACCTCGTTCACACAGTGTCCTCGAATACACGGATTTGAAGAGCAAAAGTCGATACCTTTGATAAAAGTAAAATTACAAGTTATACATTTAAAGAACAGTCATGGTTTCATGTTTGGAGCATATATCGATATAAATATACTATATACCTTAATTGTATATATCAAATAGTATGTTGAATGTTCAACTCTTTAATGCTTAATTCTAATATAAGGCACTTTCGAACAGATTTCCATGAATCTATCTAATTTTGGTTTGACATAATGCCCTTGCCTGTGTTCCACATGTTTGATTTAAAAATACTTTTGACATGGTACTTTTGCAAACGATAATGTAAATAAAAGTATGCAATAGAAATTGATTTAAGAAGGATATCTATATATTTCTATACTTCTACAAACTGTGTTTAACTTATTTTTCGTAAGCTCGTATTTAATCAGTAATTTCAGTTTGAAAAAGTAGAGAATCAAACATTCACGTGTTGTATCTTTCGTCTTAAATTTTGGTACATATTTACTTGTGTTACAGTATTTTCCCCTGAATCCAGCGGAACAAGAGCACACAAAACCATCCTTGTTATCAAAACATGTTCCGTGAACACAAGGGCTAGATTTACACATCGAATTTGCTGTAAGTTAGAAAAATGAATTTCTGGGTGAAGATATGTATTGGTTTAAAGAAATTACTCTCTAAGTCTCACTAAATCTAGTAATAAAGGTACACTGATTTAATGTTCTATTCATCATAATAATTATATACTTTAAAATAAAAACTGTTTAAAGTAAAACATAGAATCTTTGTTTTTATCGACGCGCTCAAATTGCAAACGCAAACATTTTCGTTTCGCTATAATTGTCAGCATATATCTGCACGAACATGCAATAGTATATGATAAAATGTGATAAAATGCAAATAAGTGATTTTAATTTGTAAATGTCAATTTGCATAATATGATTCATGAGTGTAATAATATCTTTCAAGACAAAAACGTATTTTTCCTTACAGATATTGCAAATTCTGCCCTCAAAGCCTTGGTCACATGTACATACGAAATCATTTCTAAGGTCAATACACGATCCATGGATACAGGGATTTGGTTGACAATGGCTAGAATCTGAAAAAAAATCTCATATAACAAATCGGGCAAGTTTGCATCTGATGATGAATGTACGTTACAGAGGGAAAAGGGAATTTAGCTGCAGTCTAGTACAAACATATTTTATACTTTCCTGTTAGAGGTTTTGGCAAATTAAGATTGGTTTGTGTTTCATTTTTGCGCAATTACCACTATATTAAATAGTTACGTTTTCAGTTTTGCAATATCTAGGTTTATATAAAAAAAATCATGATTCTTTCACAAATATCAGAAATATTTAAAATGGCATAAGAACATTAAGAAGAGCAGAAAACAGATACAGGACTTTGAAATAAAGTTTATTTTACAATGGATAAAAAATCGTTTTTTCTTTTTTGTTGTTTTGTTTTTGATTTTTTTTTGTTTAATATTTATATTGCTGTTGTCGTTGTTGTTGTTGATTTAAACATTCGATTGATTTACCACAAGTTATTTGTGAACATGAATCTATTTCAATGTTATTCCCTTGGCAAAACTGTCCATATGGGGATGGTTTTGGGTTTGTACATGCTCTGAACCTTGACTTAATCCCGCTTCCACAAGTTACACTACAAGATCTCCAACTCTCCCACGCAGTCCAGCCACCATCTGAAAAAGGTATTTGCAATTTTGGACAGGTTTTCTTTACTTTTACACAGATGTTTTTATCAATTAGGCAAACTTTTGAGATAGTAAATGTTTTGAAGGGTATTCAATTAATATCAATAAGTAGTACAGTGTTTGATTCTACTTTAGTTTAATCATACATTATTGCAACACATACGTGTAAAATTGTAAGCAAATGATAAGTATATATTAAATGCAAATGGGGTTGATACTAGTGAAACAAGTATGTTTAAAAACAAGTATATTTAATTTCTCAAGATAGTGTATGATTTTCACTAGGCAAACTTTATCACTGAAATAAAATGACATAATGTTTGCAGTATTTTTTTGTTATTATTCCCATTACACGTACTTGAACAGATTTTAGGTAAACACAGTTGTGACTCTTGATTGTGACCGAAACAGTGATCACCAAATCGACTAGGAGGAGGATTTGAACAATCTCTGCTGCGACTCTTCATTCCCATGTCACATGTTACAGAACACGATCCCCATTCCTGCCACTGACCCCAACCACCATGTACTGAATTAGGATTATTTAATTAATGTCATTAAAGAGGACAATACTTATGTAATAGGTATATCGGTATATCTATACAGTATGGTGCTGTTAATATAACCCCGTACTCACATCAAGGCAAAACATCTATATTTTGTAACAAATAAATGAGTTCAAACTATCGGTTACTTGCTAATTTTCGTTACATGTTCTTTATTAGAATTAACATTGGTTTACATGTAATTCAAGATATTGTAAAATTTTAGCTTGAGCGACGCATCCATTTTGAATAAAATATTATTTATCTTTCATAACATACTGGGACAAAGATCCAGTTCACACACTTTATTGTCTGTACTATTGCCTAGACACATCTGACCACCGTATTGTGGTGCAGGATTTGTGCAGGATCGGGTTCTTGTCTGTAAACCTTTTTCGCATGTAACGTCACACGAGGACCATGCAGACCACGGTGTCCAGTTTCCGTCAACTATATGGAATTAAGTCAGCACAAATTCGAATTTGAATATTAACAAACTTTAATCGAGATTTATTAATAAATAATTAATAGATTTTAAATAATTAAGCATCGCTGATAAGTTTTTGTTAGACTTTAAATATCGGTTAAACTATTTTTAAAACATTTCCGAATTTTAATATTAGCTTATTTTTCAACTTTAGATAGTTTGTTTGACTTCATACCAAAATAAAGCTACATGTTTCATCTCTTATGAAACACTTTCGAAAAAATGTTGCAATCATTGTGGCGTTGTCTTCAATGATAAATTTTATCAAAAGAAACTAGTGAGAGATAGTTTACATACCAACGTTGCACAAATTACAAAACTTAGGGCACACTTTCTTAGCTTGAGAGATATCATTGCAAATGTTGAACAAAGAGTTAAGTCTTGCACAGTCAATGGACTCGTCATCAATACATGATTGAGCTGAAATTTATTGAGGCTGTCTAAGATAATAATTGTTATAGACATACCGGTCATTTTCAAGATACTTGTATGTGTTAGAACAAAACTGTAATTTAGAGTTAATCAAATGCACAAAAATATGTTGAAAAATTTGAAAAAACTTGACTTAAAATTGAAAGATTTAATATTCAACACTACAGCTGTAATAGACTGAATAACATTAGAAAGGTCAGTCCACGACAAATACGTACGTTTCAGATGTTCGCATAAAATTTTATTGCAATGGTCACTGGAACAGCATTCAAGGCAATCAGTTGTTTGTCTCGTATAAAGATCTCTGCCTACTATAGTGGCTGGAATATTTCCATGAGCTGTACATTGCTGTTACGTAAAAAAGAAGAAGAAATAATAATAATAGTAACTACTCTATGCTGCTTTGTATAAAGTAGGGATGTCATTCGGAGTCCGGATATCCGATCGTTCGGATCACGATTCAGTGTCCGGAGCCGATTTTCGGATTCGAATGTTCGCAAAAAATATTTCAGAATATTGAGAAAATGTGATAAAAAACATGCGTTGAAATAATCGACGTAGACATGGTGTTGACACCATATTGTTTATTGTACCTTAGTTTGACAATACACATCATAATCTCTGCGGACCACAAAAAATCAATAATTACTATAATAATTACGAGTCAGGTATGACACATGTTAATATATATTAAACACCAAACAAATTAAGTTTTGTAGGATTTAAGATGAATATTCTAAGTCCCGTGCGATTGTCATCGGCAACGATGTTACATTTCTCATATCCAAATTTAAATATTTAATATGGCTTTTAATATATTTCGGCTTACGACCCGTCGACTCCTTATTTTGAGAAAATGAAAATTCTGTAGAAATAAAATAATCAAATCAAGAAATGCACTTACGAATAATAATATGTTAATTATCACAGCTTGTATTGAAATTGATATGACAATTATCCGACAAAATAACTTTCTCCTTTACTGTAGTGTTAATCAAACATGTGCATTTTTTAAAAACATTTTTTTCATAGTTTTTTTTTACTTATGAACACTTAAAATGCGTGTAATTCATGAAAGTTTCGGCAACTTCTCTGATGATTCGAATCAAACAGCCAGGACTACATGCTGGTAAACATCAAAGATTGGCAGATTCTTTTGAAAAGCCGGCTACACACCTGTCAAAGGTCATCGTGTGTAAATTGTATGCGTGTTATATTGTTTTCACAAATGTGAGCGAGTGTTATTTTGTATTATAGCACTAATTGAGGAATTGAGACAATCGGCGGTGAATTTCATTTTCATTTCATTTTAAATCGTAAGTACCATATGCAGTAAATTTATCGATAACAGTCATATTCTATATAGAAATAATAAAATCAAAACGAAAAAATTTTGACACGAAACATTCAATTAAAAAAGAAGTAAAACGAACTATTACACTTTGAAAAAGGTCGCGAAAATATGGTTACGTCATATCAGCCAACTAAGAATATAACAACGATCCGAACATCCGGATGTATCCGGATGTTTGATTCGGATATCCGGATGACCGTTTCGGCTCCAGATGACATCCCTAGTATAAAGGCAACCCAATCAATACACGAATCCGGACATGTTTCTTACTCTGCTTATTAAAATATGTCATCAAATGTGTAAGCGAATCTGATAAAACTGAATACAAGACACGACGTGGCGAAAAGTGTCGACATTTTACAAGTATACGATTTGTGTTAGCATTATCAATGTGTGTGACTCGAAAACCGCATTTTCTTATTAAAACATACTTATTACGAACGATTTATCATAATATACTATACCTGATTGTCGATACAACCTAGTACATTCATGTGATGTTGATTTGTCGATGAAGTATTTAGAAAACAAGCCTGAAAAGGAATTAATTTTAATAACAACAGCATATTATCACTTTTGGCAAATGACAAAACCATGCACAGTCCTGAGGCATCAATATTAGACACTTGCAAGGGTTTTAGAAATTTCCATAACATTAGTTAGCTTTTCCGGATATAAAAGATGTGTGACAAATGTATTCAACTTTCTTCATTGCACATTCATCAGGTTTTTTCTTTCGGTTTTTTTATTTGTCTTTCTTTTATTTTTTCGTTGTTGTTTTCTTTTTGTATTACATTAAACTAAACTTTATAGCATGATACTGATATGTTTGTGGCAAAACAAGTCTAGCACAGTATATTCCTTGTACATGAAACACAAGGCATACAAAGAATAAGTTTAATAGAAATAACTACTTTGAAAAAATGAAAAGTTAAAATATAGATTATAGACGGGACTAGTAGTTCTGTTCAAAAGATCACTGAAATTTCGTTTTTTACTGTACGCACCTGTCCATCCTTACATACCAGTGTGTTGTTGCAACTATTGACATCGTTTATAGACTGACAGCTGAAACATTCTAGTGCAGCTGCATCAAAATATACAAAAAAAACACGTTCATTACTTAATAAATCTTAGGTGTTATGGGGCTTGAATCAACTATTATCATTTTTTTCATTGCGCTCCAATGATATCGGTTTTCCAGAATATGTAAGACATCAACTTTCAAAACGTACAAAAATGTATGGTATCTTTATCTGGAGCATCCCTCGTACGTAGTAGCATTGGGAAAATATAAATTAGAAATTTATGTAGAAAACTTAAAGTTAGAATGTCTTACGGATGAATGAATGTAAGTGATTTAAGATCACTACGAAGATAATGTTAATGATTTAGCTAATGAAAGGAAATAATTTATACATACCGGTGTTTTGAACAAATAGGTGTACAATTGACAGGACGAGTAACACTGAAAAGAAATGATATTAAAGATCGAGACCCATCTCAAATACTGACAATTTTCATAAAAAAATATCGTTAAATTACTGATTGCGCTCAAAAGACACTGTTTTATACAAAAACTAGACTTGGTTTATTTTATATTTATTACTCTTAAACTGGAGCTATCACTTATGGTGATAAATACCTCAGCAGGAACCTTAACGTTTTCAGTGGCAATATTTGTATTATGATGTTTGAATAATAACAATTAATGATCATTATGTTAAACTACAAAGCCCATAGCTAAGATATTTGGCAGCTTAACATTGTGGATATCTTCAACAGTTATAAAACTTATGATCAAAGGGTACAAAGTAAAAAATGGTCCACCATATAGGTCACTTAACTTATGAGGCTTATATAGTAAAGATATTTTAAATATTTACTCCATGCTCAGGGCTCGTATTCCTCTTTAAAAACACCACCTAGGATAAAACATATCCTCTACCGTCCATAATCATAAAAAGCATTAATATAAAATATGTTTGGGACAAGTTTCACGAATTGGTCTCTTCTTAAGGGTATTTTGACTTCTCAAACATATTTGCATTCAGCCTTTGTGGTGTTTTTGTTGTAATTTAATATCAAAGTCTGAACAGACTAAGAACAAAATACAAAGCAGGCAAAATCCATTACACAATGTTAACAAGGCTTACATCACTTAAGTGTTGAAAATTCAGTACCGCTCAAGCCGCTGCTAAGAGGCGTGAGGGGGGTTGCGCTGTTTTATAATCGCTCATGTACAGGCTCAATCAATCCGACTCTGCAATTTTCATGTCAACTTATTGTGAATAATGCTTCCGACATTTTGTCCAGATTTTTATTTACATAACTTGTCCAGCATGCTTGAGAGACACTATTTTGTTAGCCTCATCCAATTAAACAAAACTATTTTCAAAATATATTTTGCATTTTAGTCAGAAAAAAACATGAATTTTCTTTTTCAAAAAGATAGAAGAAAAATGATATTTTGAATATATTAACAATTAAAGCAGTACTTACTCATCCTTAAGACCAACAATGATTGCAATATTTTCCTTTTAGACTGATAAAAAAAATTGTCAACAAGTTTTGACACACATGAACCAAATAGATAACGAATTTTAAAGCATATTTGTCCCATGTTTTATTTAAAATGGCTTATTTAATTTAACGTGCATGATTTCGGTGACGACTTCTTGGACACTTATACACATGTTATACAAAAAGTGTGTACGTTAAAGAAGCATAAGGAAGTCGGCTTGGCATTCCACATTATGCCGGAAAAAGATCCACTAAAACCTAAAGCATTGATACTTTGTAGTAACGCGGCATGATTAACCGTCTTTTGGTATAAGATCACAATGCTGAGTACTCGCAGATATGTCGTTGATCATGAATAATCTAACTCGAGTCCAAATTACCATAATCTTTTGAATACGGAACGGCGTGAATCTTATGATCTGATGTATAACTGTTATCATTTCTGTTACTAGATTACACGTTACTATGAACTATGCAACCAGCAACCTTCTCGGATGGCTCTAAAAATATTTATATACGGAGAGTGCAATTAAGGATTATTTTTAAAAAGTAGTTCGGAACCATATGCTAGGTAAAGTGAGAGTGAACAAAATGAAATTTATTCTGAATTTATTCTGAAACATGAAAATCACGATGCATCGTGCTGTACGATTATGAAAATTCAGAAGCATATCATTTCTGTTTTAAGATAGTGTATATCTCATTGAAACTGATAAATATTCCTCTCTGCACATCTTATCAACCAACATTCAAATTCATGGTTAACACTCACATGTTGGTTGTATTATAGTGTAAATGTTGTATATTGGCCGGATTATTGATAAACTTGAATTATAATAAATTTAATTGAACGAAACAACGACACATCATATCAAAATGTAGTTGTATTTTATTTTCAATCCTAGAGTTTTGGGAGGATGCCGAAGCCATCACAGATAATTTCTGATGTGAAGCATTGGTTAAAAGCAAAAAAACATTCTGACAAATAAGATGGTTAAAGTGGTAAGATTTTTCTCCCTATCTTTGAACACATAGCTTTTTTTCATCACGTTATTACTATCACTG